TCAAACAACTATGGTTCCAAAAATTTTCAAAAAATATAGGTTTCTGTACAGGCTTTGAATATAAACAAGGTCAAACATTTAATGACAACCACAACATTTGACAGGAACTTAATTTACGCTATTTTGAGATTTCTTGAGAAACCTTTATCTCTCAAAAATACTTTTAGCATCTCCGCTATCATAGAATTAAACTCAAAACAGAAGTTTCCGAAATCAATTAGGTCGCGATCTAGAATAGGGTTTTGTAAAGCAAAGAACGAGATCTTACAGAGCCGAAATTGAATGAAAAATGAAGCAGAGAGACGATAAAACCGAGAAAAATGGGTCATTCAAACAAAATTCAATCTCTTATCCACTAAGATCCATAATTAAAATGAGGTCTAGTCATGCTTAAACTATTTTATATTGTCGAGGTAAATATAACGCACGACAAATTTGACAGGATTGCCGTATTTGGTGTATTTGGGAAAAAACCATTGTCAAAACAAGATTTTTTACCCTTATTGCTAAAATAGCCCGCGAATAATTCAGAACAAATATATATTTATGAGAAAATATTTTATCAGTGTGACTTCTATTGATTGCGCTTATGTCAAGTTTTGAAATTCTTGACATACATGTAAAATTATAAGGACAGAACTTATAACTTAATCTTGAACCGTAAATTTTAATCCGGCTTTTGTTTGTGAAAGAAAGCGTGTTTTGAGAGATACCATTTTTATCGGCGTGAAAATAGACTTAAGCTGAATGAGTTTCTGAAATTGATCCTATGATTTTTGCGCTGAATATGAACTATATTAGAGTTGGTTAACAATTCACGGGTACTTCTCTAGTATTCAATATACTCCCCGTGGTTGAACAAATAAATTATTCAGCCGACAATACCGCACAAAATGGTAATACTTTCTTACAAATATGAATCAAAATGCGCCAACATATGTTAAGTTCACTGGCTAATTTGTATGAGTTCTATGGATACACTTAAATTTGCCAACAAATAAAATAAGGAAAAAATCAGTTTTTCCGAAAAAAAATCAATTTTTCCAAAAAACTTGAAAATTTAGCAAAACTTTTAAATTATGAAAATTTTGAATTCAAGAAAATTATATGAAATGTAGAAATTAGTTGAAATAATCAGTTGAAAAGGTTAGTCATAAGATCTAGCCTCCCAAAAAAATTGAAGCGGATTAGAACCAAATCTCATCTTTTCATTTTCCATCAAAGCAGCTTTTCAGTCCTCGTTCGTTTTAATTCCTAGCTAAGAGACCCCAGGTTCAAAGAAATTTTCAGAACTAGCTCACAGCTCGAAAAAATTTCAGGAATCAATTACAAGGAAAATCCAGATCAATTTGAGGGATTTGCACAAGCGAAGACGTCTTGATAAGCGAAAATTTTGAAGTCCCACCTCAAGCGTGGATAAATTTGCGGGAGAACAAATCGACTAATTCTAAGCCTGAGGGATTTGGTTTTCAGGGTGAACCTTTTAGTGTGAAAGGTCAATTGACCTGTAATTAACTCAGAATCGATGCTAGTGATGATAGTTAATTGACTGGATTTGCATGATTTAATTTTATTTCAAACGTCAGCAAATCAGCGATGGCTGAATAAATTTGACAAAAAATTCCATTTTAGAAAATTGTCGTTGAAAATTATTCACATTTAGAGAGAAACCGTAAATGTTTTTTTCCGCTTTTCCAAGTATTTTTATTCAACCAGTTAAATAAACAAGTTTGAATTAATTTTTAGGAAAAAACCTCATTGAATCAAAACCTCGTTTAGAGAAATTGTACATTCGTGGGAACTTTTTAACTCATCTGATTGAGCGATTCCGGTTTTTCTTCCGGAAATGCATTAAACGTTGATTAGATAGACACAGAAGAGCTTTGGAAGGATTTTAACTATTCGTTAATAGGTGTGTTGGGGTAATTGACCCCTGTGGCTTGTATATGTTACACACATGTGGCAATGATGGCATTTTGAATCGAAGCGTGACTTATTAATTGCAGTAGCAAATGAATCAATTATTGACAATGGGGGATGGGAGAGGAAACAGACGAAAAAGATGTATGGGGCGGGAGTGGGGGGGGGGGGGGGGTACAGGAACGCGAACAACAACTGCGGAGGCTTTAAACAAATATAACTAATTAATCTGACAGATGGCAGGCTAAATGGTTTTTAAAAAGTTTGACTTATCCAAAAAATTGAAATTAAATAACCAAATATAAATTAAACTTTACCTAGTTGAACATTTGAAATGCATTTAAAGTTTGCCGACAATTGAAAAAAAAATCTTGTTTACAAAATAAAATAATCAAAACATTCGACGTTTACCGAAACTAGAAAAAAATCAATTTATTTAAAAAATCAAAATTACCAAAACTAAAATCAATTATGTGTCACGTGAGCTGAAATTGAATACTTCGTATCATATAATGATTATGGTATTTCTTGTTGATAAAATAGTCAAATTTCGGTAGCTGTGCTACCTTAACTAATAAATGGGAGCTTGATCTGTCGTCAATTTGTGCAAATCAATAAAAAGTCTCCCGATTTTATTGTTTTTCCCTAATAAACCAGCGCATCTAATCTGGCTGATGCCGTAAACTGGGGAGACAATTCAGAGTACAGCCATTACGACAACAGCTCAATTAGGAACCAAACTGAAATCGAATCGGGGGTGAAAAAGTCTTTCAAAGTGCAATTATTGCTAAATTGCACTTATTAATGCCTTTTTGCAACCTTAATGCATCTAAATGAATGCAACCTTTATCATCGTCATTTAAGAGTTGAATACACTTTTCGTTGATTTCAGACAATAATTCTGTAATTTGAAATGACGGCATGTTTTTTGTTAATATCAATTTTTTGCGGTAAATTTTCACACGACTTTTTGTAGATAAGCGATTTTCCCATTTTTCGATATAGAAGAAAAAGCAGCATAAGGATCTATAAAAAATCTTATCTCTAGAACACCCATGTTGCTACCTTGGAATACTTTATGTACTTAGTCTGGTATCTAATTTATGCAAACTCACTTCTGAGAGTCTCATACTAACGCCGCCATCCGGACTTGTTTTGGGTTTCCAGACAAGCAATGAGTCATCGCAAATGAGGAAAATTTATGGAAATTAAACCCCTTAGGTTAAGGAGGGCGTGAAAATAGATTAGATTTATGAACAAAATAATAAAAACCTGAAAAAAACAATGCCGCAATTGGAAAAATACGGAGCAAATCATATTATTTCCACTATTAATTACAAAACAAGCCTCTAGGGAAACAGAAATAAATATCGGTTGACGCGTTGAAATAGCCCCAAAACTTGGCAATAAATGGTTCAAATTGGATTAGTTTTACGGGAAGCACTGCATGACTCACAAAGAACAGAGATGAATATTTGCATAAATCCTTGAGCGCTCTTCGTTTTCATGTCTCGGGGTTATGTTTTTCCTATTTTTTTCTTCGAAAAACAAACAAAAAGTGAAATTGTCGTTTAATTCGAGTGACAAACGAGGCTAAAAAATATTAGTTTCGTTTTCAATACATTGATAAATATTGACCTCAGCTCCAGCAGATTAAACGCAGGTGGAAAGTTTTTTAAAAAGTAAATCCCTTAAAAATTAGTGGAAGCGGAAATATGGTTTTGTATCGTACTATGATTGTTGATAAAATTTCTGAACATGGGATACAAATTTCACAATGGCGCAAAATCTGCTTAATTCCTACTATCGAGGATTATAGCATTCATGTATCTAAAACGTAACAAAAACTCGAATAACCGAACACAATGTTATCGATTTTCTCGATTAAGTTACTCTCAAAAACTCGTTTCCAAAAAAATTTTCCTATAACTAGTGAGGTTTGAAAATATTTTGAAAAAAAAGGGTTTTTGAAAACAAAGTATATCTAGTTTAAGTTGAAAACAAATCATGATTCGTTCTATTTCCTCAAAAAAATAAAGATTTCTGGAAAAAAACGGACGAAAAAAATGAACACCTGCTCTCAGCGGTTTCCGAAAACGTCTGCTTTTTGAGCAATAAAATGCCTTGTAAGACTCAATCCTAATTTTGCAAAGCTCCACATCACAATAAAAAACTAATTAATTATTCAAAATTTCAGTAATAAATTAATGACCATATTCTTTTCAACCTTTTTATCTTCTTTTATGTGAAAGAAATATCTGGATACTCGAATCCACAGCTTTTTTATCAATCCAGGTTGATTTTCTTAAAAAGTCTTCTAAAAAGTGACTGTTTTATTACTCTTAGTTTAAATAGCAGGATCACTTTTAAGTCACGAAACACCTGTCGTGGGAATAAGGACTTCGGCTCTTGTTACAGGTCGAAGATCGAACCGCTTTTTTGGTCAAAATGACAGCGAAGCAAACATTGAAAAACATTATCCTATTTTTTATATGCTACCTTTTAATCACGTTAACACCGATTTTAAAGAACCTCAAAGCATAAAACATAGCAAAAAACCCAACAATTATTTTTACGCAGGCACTTCTTTAAAAAAAACAGGCATAAAACACCTCATTTGAGCACTTTTGAAAATGTTGAAAAAATTTGGCTTTTTTTGGCTAGCGCCCTCTAAGTTACTACATTGTGGCGCCGAAGGGTTGGCCGGCTGAGATGGATGTCATGAAACAGTTCGAACCAAAGGGGGGACTTTGGGTGGTGGATGTCGAATCCGTAAGGGGTTGAGGCCCCCCCCCCTAGAGCCGCTATTGGCTACTAGTATAATGGGTACTACTGGGTTCCTGAAAAAAAAACATGGAAAGACGGGTCTTGCGGTTTTCGGGAAAAGTTCAAAAATACAACTAATTAAATGCTCACAAGATTTTTCAGAAAAAATTATAAAAACAAACGAATTTTTTTCCGGAAACCATCTAAATTTCATGTCATGGACCCAGTCACTAAACTACCATACTTGTGCCCGCTATTGTGAGCTGCTAGTTGTGCAATTTTCGAAATTGGAAACCAAAAAATGCTAATCAAACCTGTCGTTGGTCTCTTGTTAATGGTCGCGTCTGCATCTCCGCCCAGTCCAATCACGGCAACAAAACGCACCGCCGAACTTAGGAGTAGGAACAATCGGGAGCACATATTCTCGGGAAAACGCACGTCGTGGAATCAACGTGCAAAATTATATTTTCGGCAGTCTTTTTCGAACAGAATAATTCAAAAAAAAAAGCAATAAGCTGTCAAATTTCATAAACTTGTTGATGTAAATTTGTCAATTCTTCATTTTTTGGTAAATCTTGTCTCCTTTCTTTTACAATCTTTCGATGAATTTAGTTGCGAATTTTGAATTTGGGACGGATATTGATATTGATAATATATAGAATTTGAGAAAATCACAATTACATTGGAAATTGTAATAATTATATATTGAAAATAATCAACAGGTTCAAAAAAAGAATAAATTGTTTGTAACTTTTAAAGCAAGCTGTTCTAAAAAAAATGTCGCGCCAATAAATTTAAAAAAGCGCCTTTCGAATTTACTTTTCAGTCTTTAAGACGGCAAAATTCATTCTTTCTTTGCTCTAGAAAGAACGCTAGACTGTATTATTTATAGAGCTCTTTTTTAGCCAATCACAGAGCAGGACCGTAATTCCTGTGTTTAAAGATAGCAAAAGAAGAGCGACCAATGCCGACAAAATTGCACAATTGACTGATATTTTGTCTATTTTTAGACTACAATCATAACTATCGTATTATTTAAGCTCATTTTAAAAGTTATAAGAATTCAGTAAATAATATTTTATTTCTGTAGATCTGAGCAAATTTAATCATAGTTGGCAATTAGTGGAAACAATCGCTCGTTACTAGAAAAGTTAATAGGGGCGATTCGGGGCCTAGGAAATTATGACGATAAGCAAATTAGACGGATGCTACAAAAACGAAATTTTGAAAGTTTGATCATAATGCTCAAATCTGATGGGTTGAATTTGAAATTAATATCAGCGAAAAGAAATCTGTGTTTTCGATGAAAACAGAGGATGAATTGAGCAATCCCCCCGCTTAATGGCCAAATAAGCTATCGTCAAACTAGCTACCACTCTCTCACCCATTCCATGCAAAAACGGTAAATACGCTTCTCAAGACGCGATAAAACGCAAGCAGATTATTGACCTGATGGTAGCACACAATCAATTGAGTGACCGAAGGTTTTTATGTGTCGAGAAAAAATTTGGATCGCTTTAACTAACTATAACCCCCTTTTTATCAAAAGGGGGGAGATTCGTTACTAGGTGTTAAATTCTCATATACTTATCCGTTGATATATTTCTTTATAGGGGGATATTCGTTAATGAGGGGATGGGGGGTATTCGTAACTAGGTAACCGAGGGGGGATATAGTTAAGGAGATCCACAATTTTGAAAAAATCGAAAATAAAAATGCGAATTTTTGTTTGGGCGACCATTGCCTCGAGGAAAACAAGTTACCAGGCTTGGTGCTCTAACTTTATATCTGAATGCTGAAAATTTTTGTCAGCAGCACCTTAGTAATATACGCAATAACATTCTTTTACTTCAAGATAGAAAAAAGTCGGCTCAATATGATCAGTTTTTGTGTTTTTTTCACTCTGAAAGTGGTTTTTGAGTTTTGATAAAGCAAATTTTGGTGTTCCACATTCGTTGAAGAATCTAGTTCATTGTCTCCTATCATTCAAACTATTTTCAAGCGGTTGTACACACGCCTCATGATGAAGGGACCGAACGCTGGAAATTTATTTTTGGTAATTTTCAGCCAATCAGAATTGAGTATTCAAAAATCTAAAAGAAATCGCAAAAAACTCATCGTGAGCAAATTAATCCAGGCCATAAACATTAATACTGACCGATTACAGAATTAGCAGATTGCAGTCAAATGAAATTTCAAACATTGCCAAATCCAAGACAAATTAGAAAAAACTTTTTACAGATAAAGATTTTAGAAACATTGAAAAATAAAACGCCCAATTTGTTGTCTCTGAAAAGATAGCGCATGCTTTATTTCATTTTATGCTAATTTTGACCTCGGTTCAATGCAAAAACCATCCAGCGAAGAAGAAATACTAATGATTATGATTGCTTGGAAAATTTCCATCATTCGCTCCCACAATCATGAGAATAGCCCCGTGCCGCATGATGGAAGGGCCGACTGTTGGAAGTTTATTTTCAGTTTGTTTTTCAACCAATCTGAAGTAAGTTTCAAAAATTCAGAGAAATGTGAAAACTTCAATTGAAACAAATAAACTCAGGCCATTGAAACTAAAATCGACCGATTGCAAATTGAGCTGAAACATGCATTTTCAGTTAGTATCAGATCTGTCTCGCATTGTAAAAAAAACATACTTTTATAAGTATACCAATTTTAAAAAAAATGAAAATGTAGAATTGGTGATTCCGTTCTAAGTTTGACTGGTCGCAAAGTCGTCGAGGACAGCATCAACTTTTGTTAATAGAGATTTAGAATTCTACGCTACGATTAGTTTCTGGGCCAGTCGAGCGATTTGTACCCTAAGGTGAACGATTCAGGACAATCAAAATCTGGAAAAAATTCAGGTTTTAATTTCATCATTGATAATTTATCAAAAAAAATTAGTTCTTCATTATACAAGTCGCAAAAGCCTCGACCCTTATAGTCCCCTTCATAGCACTAATAAGGAGCAGCAAGAAATCGATCCACTAGGAGGGAACAACTTCACGAGATCTCGAAAAACCCTTCTGTTGCACATATTTTAAGATCGGCTATAAAAAATTGTAACTACCCCCAACAACAGAGAGGTCGAATGTGAAAAATTTTGATGTCATCATCCTACAGAACCCGAATAGTGAAACTGCAAGAAGTCGCCCTTAGAGGGTAGCAACTGCACGAGATCTCAAAAAAACCACCTGTTTCTCATATACTAAGATTGAATATAAAAAAGTTTACGTTTCCCGCCAACACTGTGAAGGGATTTGGTTCAGAACTGTTAAGGCTGACGATCCATATGGCTCTATTAAGCAACACATTGATTCTTAGAAGACCAAGAGATAAAAAAAGTTCCAGATCTACAGCGCTGAAAAAAAATCCTCATCCCGGATTTCCGGAAACTATTTCTCGGTTCCCACGAAAAGCAGCGAGCCAAAACTGTGATATATGATAGACAAACGCAAGATGCGTCGTATGTCATACTTTGAACCAAATCTGACGTTTCGGCCGAAAATTATTAGTGGCTTGGTACCTTTCACACCTTCGGGGACAATTTTCGCAAAATAACAACGGGGTGCATTATGACTTTTTGGCGGTAATAGACTTTAAAACCCAGCCCTGAACAAAGCCCCAGTGATCCGAACCTCCTCGACGTCCCCTTCCTGTGTTAGAAGCGCTCCCACGGGAAAAGAGATAGTGAACTTAAGAATTCGAATAACTTGAGAAGTATTAATGGGATACGGATGAAGCTCACTGGGTAGGACCACCTTGGATTCTGAACCCGAAAATGAAAGATTGACCCTATGTAATTTTTAGGCGTTTATGACCAAAATTGCCATGAAAAACTCAATATTAACAACGGAAATTGGCGTATTTCCCATCCCCAACTCTTTGGAAACAAGAATCGATTACCCAACTTCTATTTAGAATACCTATCTATTGGGAACTGAAGCAGAAGCTGAAAAGATATAGCTTTTAAAAAGTAACACAGACGTAGTGGAGCAAATTAAAATGAAATTGGCAAACCTTGGGTTCAGCTTAGCTTGGCGGATGAGCTATTGAAAGAATTTCAGTCAAACTAAAGAATAGTAGTCTCAGTGGATATTGTGATTAATAGAAGCGTGACATGGGGAGTAGGTCTCCTAAAAACAAAAACAGACAAGTAGTTTTTTTAGTGCCCCGGAGGTTTAAAAGGTCGGGAATGGAATTGAGTGTAAAGGGAATTTTAGATGATTGAATTGAATATGCTTACCCATGAGAAGGGTCTTTTTCCTCCTCCGAGAGACCGGAACGTTAACGGGACAATTGAAAAAACTTTGTGAGACTGGTGAATTATGTTTAGTTTGGCTTAGAAGTGAAAGTGGACTTGATGATTGCACAACTTATTTCAATAAATTGAGGATATTAAGGTGATCTTGGATTCGTAACTTTTTTAAGTTCTTGGATTCGTAACTTTGTTCTTCTAATTTTTTAAAATCGAGAAAATTTTTTGCAGGCTTGAGGCTTGGATGTGTTATTGCAAAATTACCTTATTAATTTTTACTTAAAACGTTTTTGGTGGAAGTAGGGTCGTTGAATTATTGGTTGATAATTTCCCCTGATTGATTTTTTTTGTAGTTTATCATTTTTTAGTTAAAATTTTTGGTAAAAACCGTACATATATCTTGACTATAGTTTTTTGAATGGTTCTTATGAAAAGTAAAAAATTCGAAAAAATTTTTGACTGGGGATAAAATAATTCGTCCCCAGTCAGCCAAACTGACATTTTTTAAACCGCCATAACTTGTAAGAAGATATATATAGCTTCAATAATATTTGGATGGAATTCAAAGAAAAAATTACTGGAAAATAAAATTAGCTGAAAAAGCTAATTTGTGACAAAAGCGACTTCGAGTTCAAATAACCTAACTTTTTTTGCTATTTCGAACCACAAGACTGCTATTTTATCAGGATGAGGTCCAATATTTTACGACTGCCCTTCTTGTAGTCTCGATATGTTTTTAGTGAATAGAGCTTTAACAAAAAGCTAAAAGAAAATAACATGTGTCAAAATGTCATTCGTTCTAGGGAACGTAGTAGATGTTTGAAGTCAGCAGGGGTTGGCTGCTGACCCCCATGTTTTAAGATAGGTTATGGACATCCGGTCACTATGCTAAGTTTTTTGATAGGGAAATTAATTTCTCGCGAAATAAGATAGATTTCAGGTTTTCCATGTATTAAGACAAGCTTCCAGATGGTAGGATGGTAAGTTTCCAAAAAAGTTTTGCCGCCCTATCTTCTTGATACTACGATGTATCAGATTCTCTAAGGCAATGCATAAGTCCCAGGTATTGGATTTTTCTAACTGCACCCGAGTTATCACTGATTCAATTCCGAACGAAGCTAGAAATCGATTTTCTCCTAGGGCGTTTATACTCTCGCTCTCGATTGCATACGTTTTCAATTAGAAACCCATATTATTTTCACAAACTTTTTTTTAATGGGAGAAAATTGCAAGTTTCGATTGGGATTTTTCTGGAACAATTCTAAAAACTCTGGAAAACACTGAAAAAATCAATTTGGCTTTTGAAGAATCTGTTGAAAAAAGACTTTGTTGGGAAACTGCGTTCTGACAATATTTTTGACCAAATAATGGGTTTTGTGTTTTTCACACCTTGTCACAATCTTTCATTTTTTTCAATTTTTTTTTCATTCTCATCATTGTATTCTCTTTTGGATGTCATTCATTTCTTTTTTCTTGTTTCCTCGTTCATTGTCTTGATCCTTCAAGGAGAGTGGAGCTTCTTGACAGAAACACAAGTGATAGTAGCATCGCATAGCTTCAATTCCGCTTCAACCACAACAACTATCAACGTTAAGCCATTCAAAACACTTCTGTTTTTT